GATACTACAGGAGATCATGTGAAAAGCTACATAATAGCTGTAAATACATGCAGGAGAGTGGGTTCCTATCAAGATCTCTCCTGTCTATCAAGTTGTACTATTCCAAAACTGCAAAGTAAAAAAAAAAAGTGTGGTTGCTAAGTGGTGTTAAATCCTGCAAATCAAGAAAAAAGGAGGCTCTTGCTTGGTTTGTTTTGGCAGTGATTAAGCTACTTCCTGTCTCACACTCTCAAAGGAGTGATGTGGGAAGATTTACGAGGCTCAGACACCTATGGGAGCACCTGCTTGACTAATGACTGCAAGATCGCTTTCACGCACAAATATATACCAGTTAGCAAACACCGGGTTGTATCGTCTGTGTGTGTGTGTGTGTGTGTGTGTGTGTGTGTGTGTGTGTGTGTGTGTGTGTGTGTGTGTGTGTGTGTGTGTGTGTGTGTGTGTGTGTGTGTGTGTGTGTGTGTGAGAGAGAGAGGTGGACCTTGTTCTGGAGACCTCCCGCCTCACAGTCACAGGAGGAAACACACCTGCCTGCCGCTGCACTTCTGACAATCGTTATCAGCGACAACACATCTGCTAAAGTACCTCAGGTCACACTTTATCAGGGCGGCACATCACATGTAACATCCTCCTTTTAGAGCTGAAATGGGACCAGCTCGACGCAGTTGTTCTTGTCTCTTGTAGCAGAAATACTAACTTGTAACAAGGGGACTTTAGGGATAATGAGCAGTAACTGTTTTAACTGATAACATTTCCTCTCATGGATATTTTCATGAGTAACAAAACCAGTAAGTGTTCACATTGAAGAAGCAGGAATCACTGTCATGTTCACTTCTTCTTTCTACGAAAATGATTCGAACTGATTAACCAGTTGTCAAAATAGTTTTTGATTCATCTAAAAGTTGACAACTTTGATTAATCCTGCAAAACATGCACTTACACGCCTCTAACCCGTTCACACCATTTCCACATGCTCTGTGGTGCACCCTGACATGCCAAGTGGCTGGTGTTTCTACGTTTGACAGCCTGTGCCTGTGAACTGTCAGCACCCACTACAGCCAAATAGCCTCTTATCTCTTCGCTGTGACACGACTTTGATCGCCCCGCTCTGAGGATCTCCAGGCGCACAGGATCCCACTCTTCTGGGGCCCCGCTGACACTAAAAGTGGGGAAATATGTGTCCACGTATCGAATGTGTATTCCACACTGGAGGACTCAAAATCAACTACTAACTTGGCCTGGCATCTTGGGAATGGGCCCAACCAGGGGAGTGGCAGCCTCAGAGCTTAGACCCAATAAAAGCCCCACACCAACAGGCCCACTTGACCCAGCCGTGCACCTGATTGGCTTAAGCCCACATGGAGCTGAGACCTGCTCCGTAATCCTGTAGGAGGACGAATGAAGAGCAGCATTCCTTCCTGAATGAGAGTGGAACGTCTCCTCAGTGGTGCTGTAGACGGTCTTCATGTGTGAGACATTTTATCATCAATATGCAACACCAGACAGTTCCATGCAAGGTCACAGAGGTCGGACACACACCGCAACAGACTGAAGTTTTTCTGCCACGGGTCTATTTCTGTCAGATGTCTTGCGGTATTTGAACCATGCAGCGAGACAGTTGAGATGTTTTCTGAGTTTATTATTAACGTGCACCTTGCACCAAAACAGGGTCTATTTCAGCAAAGACGCATCAGCAGTCAGCTGTGAAGCTGGGGTTCGAGGGGCAGCAACCTCTCAACCTCACCGTGCGTCCATCACCGTCCCACAAATGGAAACTAAAGATGTGACTCTGTGCCCCCACATGCTTTCAGAGCTGCCTGCATAGCGAGCGGCTTCAGCTGCATGAGAAACAGGAAGCCCCAGACCTTCAGATAACCTTTCACTTCACAGAATCATGAGCGAGTGCTTCCCTATTACGCCGGCTCGCTGTTGTTTCTGTGCGTCTGGTATTACCACAACATGATGTGAGACCATTTAGATCTGATTCAGATTGGCCCCTCACTGAGGCCATTACTTGTGACCAATTGATTTGAGGCATAAATATGAGTTTGGGTTTCTTTTAAAGCACAGCGACCTTTAAAAATAGGTTGTGCAATTGAAGACAAACCTGATGAGATGTCTTTAAAAAATAAAAAAGACACTTTCCTTTGTAAGGATTAAAAAAGACATACTGTTTGTTGATACTGTGTTTGTCCCTCCCATGACATGTTTGTCCAAAGACAGAGTCTAATTTATTAGCACTATAATTCATAGAATAACAACCTGTCTGGACAGCCTGAAAATGTTTTTGTTTGTCTAACTTTAGAAGCAGGAAGGACAGAAAGACGGGGACAATGGAATACCACTTTAGTCTCGAAGTGATTATTATCCCCCTAAATCCATCTGTAAGACATCTGATTACCACAGTTTACACCAAGCCTAACCTTGTTCTCTATGCCAGCAAGTGATTTCACCCTCTGCGCTCACACTCGTGGGAACTGTGCTGCAAGAGGATTTAAATCTATACCTTACCACTCAAATCTGAGTCGTTGCATGCCTCAGAAACCGCTGCAAAAAACTCCAAATCAGAGTATGACTCAGGGGCCAAGCACCACAAAAGTGGATTTAAAACAATGTGATGCCGACTTTTAACAGGAACAATTTTAGGTCACAATATCTCAACCCTGGCCCAATTTTGTGGCATTGCTCTCACTATTATTGCAGTGTGAGACTCTTTTTCTCCTAGCGTGCAAACCATTGGTTTCCCCAGGTGGACTTTCCATTTATGTCAAGACACAATCACTCACTGAAATTGCCAGATAAAGTGTCCAAAAATATATATAGTAAGGATAAGAGGTATATTTTTAAAAGCCCCCTTTAAGAGTGGAAATAAAAATATTGTGAATATCTGCAAAAATGGCAGAAAATGCTGCCTTCTGTCTCCTGAATTTGAGATACCCTGTTGTTGTCTATGTTAATGTGAGTAGTTTTGGGTCTATTTCTCACTACTTTCTGAAACATTAAAGACCAAACCAATAAATGAATCTAGAAAACAATGGTTATTGCTACCCTAACCCCCTCAGTAGAGACGCTACACCCCTGACCCCTGTCTGTACCTCCGGTGACTGATGGCTGCAGGGACAGCAAGGAGGAAGAGGGACAGTGATGCTCTTATCCTGTCTGTTTTTAATTGGACTGAGTAGAGATGGAGACCAAAATAACAGCTTTGTGGAGGGGGGGGGGACCAGTTGCAGTGCACACGTGCGGTGGTCTGTGTGTGTGTGTGTGTGTGTGTGTGTGTGTGTGTGTGTGTGTGTGGTGTGTGTGTGTGTGTGTGTGTGTGTGTGTGTGTGTGTGTGTGTGTGTGTGTGTGTGTGTGTGTGTGTGTGTGTGTTTGGAGTGTGTGGAGTGTGTGGCGTGTGCAGATTAGAAATAGGTGGCCCTGGGCGAGCAGTATGGGGCTCTGAATGGCTCCCCCTTGTCCCTTGACCACAAGCCCCGAGGGCTGGAGCTGGAAATCACTATAACAAGTGCAACAAATATTTTTCATCCTCCTCTTGTTTGGTGTGAATGCTGAGAAGCACACTCCAAATGTATGATTGGCAGACATTCTGTTCAAACATCACAACCCTCAGCTCGATAAGGAATCCACTGCAATAACTCCTGACATTCAGAACCCAGAAAGTATTAACCATAATTCATTCACAGTTTTGTAATAACTTCATCATCAGCATTTCAGCATTCACACAACAATTTCTTCAGGAATGACATTGTCCAGCTGTCTTTTGTCGTCTTGCACAATAACTTGGTGACTCACACATTTTCATATATAGGTCAGCTAAATATCACACCTATTAAACTGTTATACACACGCAAAGTCCAAACAGATATCCCACAATCTGCCTCCATTCCCACTTGTTTGCCTTTAAATGTCTGCACTTCATTCCAATTAATCCGACTCTCTTGACATCCAATCCAATTACATTTCACTGCCATCTGGTTTTCTAATGGAGATCACAAGCAGGGTAAGGTTAGGGGTGGGGGGGGTTTGGGATTGTCCATTCAGAAAGCAGGAGACAAGCCTTTTGCAAGGAGGGGGGTTATGGCAGGGGTTTGGTGTGTGCTGTGGTGGCTGTGGCATGATGGGAAGCCCCACTCAGATTAGTCACACAGCATTATTCTGACTGCGGGACAATGGGTGACGGGCGGCGGGCGAGCCCCAGCTGTCGCCCATGAAAAGACAAAAAAACAAGATTTAGGACTGGACGCGTCCCCTCACTCTGCTGGGGAAGGGGTCTTGCATTCATTAACGGGGAGGAGGGAGTGGGGGGCTTTTGTCAGGCTCCCCTTCTCTCACCTCTCTGAAGCTGCACTCTTTGCTAAACTTGTATTTCTTCACTTCTTTAACAGACAAAAAAAGTGCTTCTTTCCAACTTCCATAAATCCCAGTCTGAGGTGTACTCCAGTACATTAAGCTACGATGGCTATGTGTGATAAAGTGAAGAGGATAGACTTGCATATTCAAAGTAACTAAGTATGCACACGTTATGATCATGTTTAGGGTAGTTATTTAAGCTGTATCATTTATGATTATCCTGTTATATCTCATTATTAATATATTTGAAAGGCAGCTACATTTATTTATTTTCTAAATATGTTGCACCAACGGGACTGGCACAAAAGAGATTTTGTTGTTCTTTAACAATGACAATAAAGTTCCTGAATCTTTTTTAAGGGGAATGTGTGCAGCCTCAGAAAGAAATGTGGCTCCTGTAGCGATGCAGAAGCTAAACCAGCCCCGGATCAAACTCAAGGGCCCCTGGTTGCTGGGCACAGGGCCCGCTCAAAAGCTGGAATGAAAAGGGGGAATATGTGGCCCCTTTTTTTCTTTTTCTCCCGTCCTAAAAAAGCACTTTCGAGTAGAGAAAACACGCCAGACTGCACCTCTAAGACGACTAGAAGATAACGGGAAGCTCTGTGGTGGTCTGCGTTTCAACATCTGCTGCATCAGACTCTGCACTTACTTGCACTCTCCATTTCCATTATGGCTGCCTTCACACCGTCCTCCATTCAGGCATGATTCAGTGGGAAGGGAGCATTTTAGACCTGTGGAGCACAACAATAAATGAATAATACACTCATAAGACCAGAGGTGGGAGAAGTACTCAAATCTTGAACTTGAGTAAAAGTATAAGTACAAGAATATAATACTCTGTTACAAGTAAAAGTCCTGCATTCTAAATGTTACTCAAGTAAAAGTATTCATTGTGCAGACTGGTCCATTTCAGAATAATATATATGATATGTTTTATAATGATTGATCATGAAAGTGTTCTCAAAGCTGGTAAAGGTGCAGCTAGTTTGAATGACTTTGTATACTGCAGGGTAGCTTGTGGATTTACTCCAGGTGGAACTAAAGTCTGATTTAACACTTGATTAGATTTCACATCATTCATCCACATCTGTGAAGTAACTAAAGGTATTAGATACATGTAGTGGAGGAAAAGTACACCATTTACCTCTGAATTGTAGAGGAATCGAAGTACAAAGTAGTAGGCTACAACATTGAAATACTGAAGTAAAGTGCAAGTACCATAAAAGTACTTAGTTACTCCACACCACTGTGCAATCTGAACTGTAAGGATTAGCTGGAGTTGGAATACATGGGAAATGATTCCTCAGTGAATTCAATTCTTTAATAAAACATTTATTTTAATGTACACATCCTTAATCTGTAATTGATTTGTTACACAGTTGTCCTGGGGGGATTTTTTTTGGGGGGGAAGCCTCTCGTGGACACCGGTGAGTCCAGAGCGTGTGGTGCGGGTAGTGGGGGGGGGGGGGGCGCACGCTTTTGCGGAGAGAGCTGCAGCAGCTGCGGGGCTCAGTGCGGAACAAAAGAAATCAGAGTCCAGCACGAGCCATACAACACTCTCCTCGGGCATTGTTTACCGGCAGACGGGAATAACAGCACCTCCTCCACCCACAACACTCTACCACCGTACAGACAAAAGGTGTCCCCCCCTACCCACCCCCCCCCCCATACGCGTCCCCCACACACGCACCCGCTCCCATTATGTCCCATGTTATTTAAAACCGCTTCTCAGCACAATCTACATCCAAATATGTTATTATAAGGGATCAAATCCAAGGTACAACAGCCAATCAAATGACACGTTTTGATCCATTACTTTTGTATAACTTTGTGTTGCGTTACAAGTGCTCATTATAGGCTACTTAAATACCTTTGGACCCTTAATACAAAGTAAAAACGTTCACACAGAGGGAATCCGCGGCATTTGGCTCATGCACTTGTTGTAAATTCCCACCAGCAATAAAGTAGGCTAACTTCATTAAAGTTTCTGGGGGGGTTCCAAGTTGTGATCAGTCTACAGCTCGTTTTTAACAGCTCAGAATCCCACGGTACTGATATTTACAACCTTCTTTCAAACTTTAATTCATCTTCATGCTCCTCTGCAGCGCATATTTAAACAAGTGAAAGTTTACCTTGTGTGAGGACGATTGCAGGAATCAGAAATGTTAGTTTCACAAAGAAACGATACATTCCTCCTGTTCAGCTTCACAAAATGCCGTTGACTCCCGCGAAGGGTTCGCATAGATCCAGGTCGGTCCAGGTGTTCCTTATAAATAATATCCGAGCAGGAGGGAGGGTAATCCAGCAGAACACAGAGGGAAGGGTCTGGAAGAGGACTCAGTTCATAGATGTTAGCCTGGCGCTTTCCGAGTTCTCAATGAAGTCTGCAGGCAGCTCTACAAGTTCCCCCCTCTCTCTCCCCCCCTCCCCCCTTTTACTCCTCCTCCTCCTCCTCCTCAGGCCATATAAAAGCTGCCTCTCACACACAGAAGGAACCAATAGCCATCCCTCTCCCTGTCCAAAAGTGAAATTATTAACATTCAAAATTATGGAAGTACATTTACTTCATTCTTTTTTTATTCTTGAACCTATACCTGAGGTAGGCTAATATAAGAGCACCAGGAAAAGTGCTATATATAAATACCATGTATTATTATTATTTATTTGTTGCACCTAACTTCACTAAACAGTAACACTTTATATTAATAGGCTACACAAATTAACCATCAACTAGTTGTTCATTAACATGCATATTAGCAGTATATTGGCTCTTTATTAGTCATTATAAAACACTTATTAATGCCTTATTCTACATGACCATATTCTACAAGTAATAAGCCATTAGTTGAGAGTTTTTCCTCAATAACCCTCTAATTAGTGCTTATTTGTTGCATGTAAGGAAGTTGTTGTACATGAGTTTTGGTCTTAATATGCTCTGCTCAATATGGGCCTAATAAGACAGTAGTACCACAAGAATAGTAATTATCCCATAATAACACTTAACAAATATGATCTCTTCTACAAGACATAAAACGATAAGTGTTAGTTGTGTCTAAATAACTCAAAATTAGGTATTTATATCTAAGAACATGTTCCATATTTTAAAGTGAAGTCTTGTTCATAACCAATAAGCTATTAGTTTGACTCTAATTGACCTGAACATGTTCCCTATTCTAAAGTGGCCTCCTCTTCACACTTTGTAAATACATTATAGCACACAACTACTGAAATGAACCTTAACAGTACATGAACAAAGTAGGCACACACTCAAATATCTGCTTTATTAATGAACCACTAAAGAGAGGTTCAGACACATGTACCAAAACATGTCAAGTTTCTCCAAGGCTGAGAACATATGCAGCCTGTACTTTTTAATAAAAACAGATTTTTTTGTAACAGATGTTATGTAGTTGTGATCATACTGTGGGACCTGCTTGTATGTACTTACACACTAGGTGTACTGTTCTCTCTATGTGTTGTACTGTCTCAGTGTGAACAGATTAAACAGCCAGCCAAACTCTTTTGAGAGCCAGGGAATGAGCAGCCATGCTCCTTTATTGACTTATTTGCAGTCTACTGACATTCAAACAGTGAAACTATACAAAATTAAGTTACAAGGCACTTAATGATCTCATACATGCAAGTGTAACATACACAGATTAACACATAGGACAGCTAAGTGTAAACAAGGTCAATATAGCTAATGCTAGCTGTGCAATAAGCATGTGTACAGGCTAAAGCTAGCATGTATGCTAACGCTACCGTGTATGCTAACGCTAGCACGAATGCAGAACACAGTTATACGGGAAGGTACAACATTAAAATTATTTTTGCACAAATTATATATTTATTGATACTTGAAGTTACTTGTTCCTGATAATACTTCTGTAGTTATACTTAACAGATATTTTAAATGCAGGATGTTCCCTTTTGCATTGCTGTGTCAGTAAAATATCTGGTTCTTCCATCGCTGATATTGGAGAAGCACAACATTATATTTTGTGTGAAATCAAATTGAGGAACGAAAACGGAAGTCCATTGTGCTTTGGTTTCATCGCTATACAAATCTGTGCCTCTAATTCTGCTTTCATGTTGTTATTCTGATCAAAAACATTCAGATCACTTCCTGCTCCAGTTTGACCCTCGCTGCATGGATCCTGGAGATGCATCCTCCTGACGCATGACTACTGCTCTCAGTGGTGTAAAGTAACTAAGTACATTTACTCAAGTACTGTACCTAAGTACAATATTGAGGGACTTGTACTTTACTTGAGTATTTCCATTTTATGCTACTCTGTACTTGGTGTAACTTGTGTACTTTTACCCCACTACATTTATTTAGTACTGTAGCGACCCTGTATAGGATGCTGAGGGTGTCACTCAGGCATCCCCCGTCTCTCTGCCAATCATAGAGCTGCACAGTGATGCTGGTTGAGGTGCGGGGCTGTGGTTGGGGGAGCAGACGGGGGAGGGCGGGAAGTTGTGACGTAGACACTGTTATATGGGTATGTGTAGAAGTTAGTGTTAGTGTGAGGTTGAACCCACAAGCTGTTCCTGAACCTGTAATCATCTGTAAAGAATAAGAGTTATTAAAGCCTAATAACTAGCAGCCTGTTTCCGACTCCCTTTGTGATCGTTACAGTACCTTTAGTTACTTTACAGATTTGTATTAATGATGTGAAATATAATCAAGTCTTAAATTAGACTTTAGGCCCCGTTTACACGGAGACGGAACGGGTTGTATCCACTACTCCAGTTCTCTATCGCAGCCTTTCCCAAACTCAGGGTCGCGACCCAAAATGGGTCGCGGACCCGTTTTGATTGGGTCGCCATGTTAAATGCATTGCTACACACACACAGCATCAGAGCTGATGGCTGCGTTGCAAATACAATCTTTTTATAATTTTTGCATTTTATTTTTTATTTTGAAAATGAATTTATGCAATATAGCATTGTATATTGAATGATTTAATTTTCTAAATACAAATAAACTAAAAATAAAAGATTGTATTTGTATCAGCTCTGACACGTCCCCCGCGAAAGTTTTCGCGCCGTCTGTTTATTGTCTGTTGATTAATCCCGATCGTACATGATGGCAAAAAGACGACACAAAGAGGAGTTTTTAAACGTTGGCTTCACAAAAGCTGTTAGAAATGGAGAAGAGCGGCCTCAGTGTGTTTTATGTGGAGAGGTGCTCAGTAACGAAAGCTTGAAAATGAATAAATTGGACCGGCATCTCCAAACAAAACATCCTCTACATCGGGACAAATCGAAGGATTTTTTCATCTGCAAAGAAGAGTCTTTCAAGAAGCAGTGTTTTGACGGCGGAAAAGTAAGTCACTCATTTTAATCATTTGTTTTGTGTGTTTGTGAGCTTGTCAGGGTCTGTTGTGAAATTGTTTCGTTAATGCAAAGTTGGATGAAATGCAGACTGAGCCCCGGAGCGGACCGCCAGCTGCGCGCTCTCGCGCGTCCTCTACTCGCTCCCGCGATTCCACTACATTCTGCAGCGGCACAGAGCGATGTTTCAATTTTTACTAGCCTAAAATGTTTTTAAAACGGCCGGGAGAAAAACAGAGAAACAATAACCACAGGAAGATTAGAGGGAAAGTGACAGGCAGTATGAGAAGGAAAGCGAGAGAAAGCTTTTTTCACTGCAGCCGCACGGACGTGACTGCTGCAGTGTGATGCACAATACATACGGGGGTTATTCCCTATCTTTATTCAAGAGCGTGGTCTTTACATTTGAGAGCATACTTTATTGATTTCACGTTCAGAATATGTATTTCTTTCCCTCAAACCCTGTCCTCGCACTCAAATAGTGCCTGCTTGCACTTAGATTTGCTCTGCTTCTGCTCAAACTGTACGCTTGCACTCAGATATATTGCTGCTTACAGATTTCCTGTGTTCCAGCTTAAAACCTTCTCCTTGCACTCAGGCTGTTTCTGTGCGCTTGTGAAATGTCTGCTCTCAGATTTCTTCTGTGCGCGCTTGGATCTTTTGTGCAACAACCCTGTCAAAATTCCCCTGTGGGGATTCCCCACAGTATTGAGTATGTAAGTCGCTTTGGATAAAAGCGTCTAACAAGTAACATGTAATGTAATGCGCTATAAATGCGGTTGCCAGGTCCACATTAGGTATACAGCGTACGCCGGCTGGTGTTAAAAATCACCCAATAACCCAGCAATGTTAATGATGATATCTTCTCTGTTATTTTCAGGCATTCCAAGGGAGAGGAGGGGCACTGAGGGCATCTGTTACGTTCCCTATTGGCTAGGGGAACAAAAGGGAAACGACACGACCAGAGTAGAATTGGTATGTGTTACAAGCGGTTTATTTGTAACTGCAAATGAGTAAAATTATATACACAAACAGTTTGGCCCAACAACGGGTCAAACTGTTACTATCTAACAAAAGGGTCTCCAAAAGAGAGTTGCCCAGTACTATACAAAAAGGAAAATAAAATATCTCACTTCTAAAGTGGAACAAACAATAAACCAAACGAGGCTGTGGGAGAACACAGCTGGTGCTGATCAACAGGTGCTAATCACCTGGGTCTAAGCAATATACACACAAATGCTGGTCTACAGGTGCTAATCACCTGGATCTAAGCAATATACACACAAATGCTACACACAGAACTACTACAACACACTGCTACTCAGTGTAGCTAACACAGGAACCCTACTGAACACACTGCTAGGCAGTCTAACGAATCACAGAGTATGGCGGTAGTATAGCGAGAGGCTTGAGGCGTCTGTCCCATAATACAGAGCCTCCTGAATGATGTCCGTGCCCGGCCTTTGTACTCCTCCCACGGTTGACGTGGCAGAAGCGTGCGGGGATTGGATAACGTCCGTCCAATCACCGCGGATGTTGCGAGGTCGGGACGGCCAATGACAGCAGAGGAACTGCACAGCTCATTTACATAGGTACACACAAACAGAGTTAAGGGCATAACAAAAGTAGCGGCTGTAACAGCATCATATCAAGTCAGCCTCCACATTGCCAAAGCAAAGAAGCCCATCGGGGAGCAGCTGATAAAGCCTTGTCTTAAAGATGTGTGTCTCTCTGTCTTGGGTGAGGATGCAGCGAACAAAATAGAGTCTGTCCCACTCTCAAACAACACCATTGCATCCAGAATCAAGGATATGTCAGCTGACATCCAAAAAACAGTCACAGAGGAAATACTGCAGCACAAATTATTTTCACTGCAGCTTGACGAGTCTGTGGATGTTGCTGGGATTCCCCAGTTAATGGTATTTGACAGATACATTAGTGGTAAAGATATCAAGGAGGAGTTCCTATTCTGTGACCAGCTGCACACAACAACAAGGGGAGAGCATATTTTCAGAGTGGTGGACACAC